GGAAAGAGTTAGAACACAAGTTAGAGAGAAATCAAGGATAATTTTCCATCAAAAAGGCATAGAGCTGTTATATAGCTTTGGAAATTGATTTTAAATTAGCCTATAAAAAAAGGTAGTAAATATTTACAGGAAACGAGAATAATAAGAATGCGTTTTCTTGAAAGTTCCTGTGAGGAGCACATTTCTTCAAGGATCCTGGCCTCTCTCCCTCTAGCTGCTCCTGACTCAGATGATGTTGCTCTCTACGTCGGGATCGTCATAGCTGTGATCGTGTGCCTGGCTATTTCCGTGGTTGTGGCCCTGTTTGTCTATCGCAAGAACCACCGTGACTTTGAGTCAGATATTATCGACTCCTCGGCGCTAAATGGGGGATTTCAGCCTGTTAACATCAAGGCTGCAAGGCAAGGTTAGTTGTCATTTCACTCCATGTTGACCGACTCAGGGAGATGCTATAAGGTTATGGTCTCTTGGGCTGCATGAATGATATTCGCTGGATGCTTGTTGGCACTTCATAAAAGGGAGAAAGATGATACCCATTTGTTTCTGATGGTCAAGTGCTCAAAACCCACGTTGGCGTTTTTCAGACGTGCTCAAGAGCATAAAGCAGAGGAATTTAACATCTAAAGAGAGAGAGTGAATGCGAGAGTGAAACACAGAGACATTTATGGAAATACAGGTCCGGCTCAAATTTAAATCAAAGGCAAAGCTCTGACAGAAACAACGGAGGCAGGATTCATCACAGGAGTGATATTACAGTACAGTAATTCTATCACATCTTCCTCCCCTTTGTTTCACTAATAGCCTTTTTTACTGTGCACTGTCTCCACAGACATAAATAGTAGTTTAAGAAGTACTGTACTTTCAGTAGACAATGTAGAAGAAGTTGTGGTAGAACATCATTTAATAATGAGCATTTTTATCACTGGTACATAACAGCTTGATTATTTCCAGACTTCGCTGGCCAGAAAAAAACACTCTGAAGCTAGTGCAGGCTTTTTCAAGACCCATATTTAGGCTGTACAGTTCCTCTTTTTTCCCAATATGTATGCAAAAAGAACAAATCAAAATAAGAGTTAAGATGACAGGAGAGTTGTCATGTGGAAGATTAGCAGAAGTGTCATTTTCTTTGCTGGGGATACTTTTAAAACAAATCTCAAAAAAGTGTGATGCAGGTACTAATCCCCCAGTGTGGGGAGTTGTGGACACAATGACTTCATAGGTTTGTTCTGTCTTTTATATCAGGAGTGCTATCATTAGGCCAATTAGATAAATTGGTTAATGATACTCACTTATCATTTAGGGAGGGGGTATTAGTTAATAAAACTAGATCTCCTGAGTATGGAAAACATCTTGCCCTGAAGCTAAGCATGTCATACTGGAAATCTGAGTGCAGCCTGGAAGAATAATCCCAGTGAAAAATCCTTAGAGCAGAATCGTGTTGTAATTTTGTATGAGAATTAGATTCCGTAGCAGCTGGGGCAATACAATCCCTGGGAGTCTGCTGGAGAGACACATGGAAAAGGAAACCAAGGTCAGTCTGCAAGGACTTTGCGTATCTTAACCTTTGGTGTGAAATGCAAAATGCAGAATGCAAACCTGAATTGTTCCCAGAAGAAAGTCATCAGAATAGAGAAGTAATACGGTTCTTCCTTCTCACCTCCAATGCAGACCTCCTGGCAGTACCACCAGACCTCACTTCTGCTGCAGCCATGTACAGGGGTCCTGTTTACGCCTTGCATGATGTCTCTGACAAGATCCCGATGACCAATTCTCCGATCCTGGACCCACTGCCCAACCTGAAAATCAAGGTTTATAACACCTCTGGCGCAGTCACTCCCCAGGATGACCTCTCTGACTTCTCCTCCAAGCTGTCCCCACAGATTACACAGTCTCTGCTGGAGAATGAGACCCTGAACATGAAAAACCAGAGCCTTGCTCGGCAAACAGACCCATCGTGCACTGCATTTGGGACCTTCAACTCTTTAGGAGGTCACCTAGTAATTCCCAATTCAGGTAAGTGCTAGCCATGTTGGCTTAAAGGCTCAGTTTTGTGTTTTTAAGTGGAGTTAGCTTGCTTTTATGCAGGAAAAAGCAGGGTCACTCCTGGGATTCTGCGATTCCTTTGTTCAGAACAAACATGTTTTTTTCCTCCCATTCACGTCTACCAAGGTACTTCAAGTATTCTTTTCCTGAAGTCCTGGCCACCTTTTTAACAGAATATTGCAGGGCTCTTAGCCACTTTCTGAGACATGCAAGGCTTCAGAGCTTCTCTGTGTGAAGTGAGATTCAGCATCCTTGACCTTTTCCTTTCATGCAGCTCTAGAAAAGGGACTCCAAGCCTGAAAGCCTCAATCTTGTCATCACACATAAAAAGGACAAATTAATTAAAAAACAAATCGGTTGTTCCACTTCCAATTCATTGCAGACTGTGTAGTATTGAAGTAGGACAGCAGAATACTAATTTTTGGAAGGCTTTTTTCCTGCACACATTACATACCCAAGGAAAATAAGGCCCAAGAGTGTCTTTTCTATATTTCTCTCCTTGTTATCCATATTGTTGACTTGTTTTAAAACTAGGAAAGAGCAGTGAGTACCTTCTGATGTAATTGCAAAGCGCTGCTCAGTCTTTCTCATACAGTACAAGGCCAAGCTTCTGGACTCCCTTCAAGCCACCCAGGCACTGGGAGGCAGTTTCAGAGCATCCAGGGAGCTCCTGGGCAGCCTTGGGAGGGCTCGGCTCTCACAGACACATTTTTTAGGAGAGCCATACTACTGTTTGGTTCTTACATGAAGTGTTGACATGCAAAGGAAGTTCAGAACCTAGATGTTCCCATGCGTTTGGCATGCTAATGAAGGGCAACATTAACATCTGAAGCGGGGTCGAATCAAATGCATAAAACGCTGGATGTGGGGGATATGCAGGCTATACAGTGTAACTGTAAAAAAAAAAAAACCAAAACTGTCCGGTTTCTCTGGAGCTCTGAGTCCAGGTAGGACCACAGTACATGTGAGACCACAACTCCCTGATGAGATAACTCAAGGTCTCACAGCTTTTCTGCCTTCCTCTTTACATCTGGTGGTCAGCTCTTGGCCATTTTACAGCACAGTGCCTCAGGGGACCAAGGAGATGGTACCTACCGTTGTCTCTTGCTCCTTTGCTGGATCTTTTCTTGTTTGTTGGTTATGGAGAAAGCAAAACGCCTAGGTGGCCCAGGACCCTAGGTGGTTTAGTCCTTCCAGGACGCAGCCCTGCACTGCCCAGGAAGCAGCCAAAAGTGGTTGGTGAACAGTAGCCCTCCTCTCTTGAGCTACCATGGAACAGGGAGCAAAAATAGCTATTGAATTTAAGAGCCTGAGTGAAAGCTGAACCACTTAAAGAAATCTGGTGCTGACGGCTGAGCGAGGTTGAAAATTCATGCTATACAATCCTGGATTTCACATTTCTCCGAGTAGCAGCTGAAGGTGGATATTAATACTCAGGTTTCTTATGCCATGGTGGTTGCACGTTGTCAGCAAAGTCTGTTAGTCACATTTAATTCACATATATTAATATCAATTTGTAAAGAAAAAAAATGGTTATTTATTGCTGTAATCCCTTCAAAGTGATTAAAATAAGTTTTGTAAAATATATCAATCTGTCTACTGCTACCATGTATGCCTCTGTGCTGCTTCTAGATGTATGTATATCATCCTAGTGATATGATCAAAGCCCTTCATTTACACTGTGCCTGCCCTGTTACAGCTGAGAACATGCACAGGTGAGGCTGTAACAGGCCTGTAAAGAAACAAGTGTCAGAAGGCATTTGTGGAAAATGCTTGCCTAGCTAATCCCTCCACTTCAAAGCCAGGTATAGGACTGAGCCTGGGTACGCCAACACATGGGAGGGCACCAGTGTAACCAAACCATGTATGCTGAAGAGGAGAGACAGTGCTGTGCAAAGTTTCTATCAAAGCCCTCTTGGGCATATGGATATATGTAAATAATCTGCCTGTAGATTTGTTTTCAGCTATGTAGTAATAACTGTATTAAAATCCTTGCCACTGACTCCCAGCTAATCCACATCTGCAAAGACAGCTGGCTGAGACGTGTCCAGCAGAGTGAAATAGCTGGTTCATGTGCCATGTTTTTTGTGTAACGACAGGACCCTCTGTTTTCTGGGGAGTCATTGCTACATTTCTGAAATTGCAGTAATGTAAGAACAGTGCTTTGTAATCAAGTGTGCAGCTAATCATTACTGAAAAGGGTACAGAGCATATCTGCCCACATTTTTTTCAAGGTTGGATACCCAAATTTTGAGCCACTCTGCAGGACTAGGCACATTCAAAATACCAAGAAGCCCAATTTTGCCTCCCTGGTAGTCTAATTAGAAGCTGAGTGCATTAAAAGACAGGATGCCAGTCGCAGAAGCCATCTTTCAGAAAACAACTAGTTCTTGTTGCTTCCTGGACAGTGCTGCACTGCCTTTCTTTCCTGATTTTAATTAAGTAAGAATTGCCTAGGGAGAGATGTCCCGTTACAGCTGTTGGAAGTTTTAGTCAGAGTTGTTCGTTTTTCCATCATTTTACAAGGTAACCAGCAGCGTAACCATCTGTCTGCTCTTTAAATAAAATAAAATGGAAAGGAAGAAAATCCTCTCCTCTATTCCCCTATTTTAGTGCCAACACACAAGAGGAATAAGAACAGACCACCTGACCACCGGAGACACCAGGATTGCAGTAAATACTTTTTCTCCAGGGTTGCTGAGGTCATTTAGAGTCTGCTGGTGAGGTTGGGTGAAAATCTGGCATCACAGGCTTCATCTTCTGTCTCTCCTGTCACTCCTTTTCACAGGCCCACTTGCCTCTTTTTTCTCCATTTTGTCTTTTGTGTCTCTTCTGTTCTGCAGGAGTGAGCTTGCTGATCCCAGCGGGGGCTGTTCCACAAGGGAGAGTCTATGAAATGTATGTGACAGTTCACAGGAAGGAGAACATGAGGTAAAAGACTGCCTTTATTTGCCTGTGCATTAACGGAGGGGAAAAATGTAGTAAGTAAAGACCTGTGGTAATATGCTTATGCAAAGTCAACTGGATTGAAGCTATTTGCTGACTTGGAGCTAAATGTGAGCAAAGCCAAGGGTAAACTTTGCCACAAAACCAGCTCAGACTTTTGCTTTTCTAACCAAGAGTTGCATTCTGCAGCAAGCCCTTAAGCTAGGGGGATGCTGAATCATAGCCAGAAGCCAGGAAAATGTGCCAGCGTGAGTTTGGCGCAGTAGAGAAGGTGTGAGGTAGCCTCTTAATAAAGACTCGTGCTGCAAAGAAGGGAGTGGAGGAGCAAGGTGACAAATCAGCTCAGCAGAGGGACAGCTGCCTGAGCACCTGGCTTGGAATATCTCGTCTCCTATTACAATGAAGGTGAATTTTTATTTTACCCTTCACGGGCTTGGCTAGTCCATGCAGTGAAGAGGACGGAGCCAAAGCTTTTGGTGTCCTTCACCCCTCCTTGCTCCAAGGTAGAAGTAAGCAAGTAGTTGTCCTGCTTAGCCCCAGGCACAGCATGCCGAGGGCCACCCAAAGCCAATGTTGGGATGACCCCTGTTGTTCTCACCTGTTATCTGCCTGTGTGGGCAATTCATATTCTAGATCTTAATGTCTACTGAGTGATCGGGCAGCCTTGGCATAAAAAAAGAGTTTCCGAAAACACCAAGATACCATTTGAAGCAGTTTAGGAAAACCTAATGAAGAGAAAGGTGAGATCTTAGTCTGCAGAATGGACTCATGTACACAAAGGCTGAATGGCAAATGTGAATCTAAGCAATCATTACACGGTACTTTGCCTCCTTCCCCTCCTCATAGCTAGATACATTTTTTGGCTCAGCCCCTTAATGGCTTTTATTATGTGCTAAGCCACAGCTGTTTATACACTGTGTGATATTGAACACTATTCTTTAGCTTGGTAGTCTTTCACCCATGCTAAAATAATCTGCTTAAAGAAAAAATAAATAACCCCTCCACCCATCCTTTTGCATACATTATTCATTGCCTGCTCTTTGAAAATAGCTAATTGCAGCTACAGAAAAAGTGTCTCTGTTCATACCTAGTATTGATTGTATTCCTATTACTTTTGGGTGTGTTTTAAAGACACTTATAAACAGCATTGAAAAGGGACTCTTTCCTGCAGAAGGAAAAAAATTAAAATCAGAGGGCATCCCCTGCTATTCAGCTTGCCTCCATATCTCCCTTTTTAAAATATCTAATTCTTCCAAAAAATTTTTACTTCATTCCTAGGAGGAGCTATATGCGCAATTACTTTCTTTCCAGCCATTTATGGAGGGAATCCCTGCCTCCTTATTCATGCAGCTGTGGACAACCAATGTCACATGGTAGTCTGACTTACTTTCTTTGAGGGTCATAAAGCCTCCTTTGTGTGTTTTGTGATAGCTGTTACTCAACAATTCACATGGGGGATGGAAGGATAGGTTAACCTGCATTGGGTAAAGCATGCTTGGAGCGGCGCTCTGCCAAACTGGACAAGTGTGCTGAAGTACGCCCGCAGAAGTGAATGGAAAGGTGTGAATCCTCACTTGCAATTAAGACTTTGACAAGTTATTTCTTGCCCTAGGAGAGGGGAGTAGAGAGTGGGCTGCCTTGGCCATCAGGGCAGCAGGGCTTGTCCCATCGTGGTGGTAATTGCTTCCTGGGCACACAGACCCCAGCTGCTGATTTGATTTATGGCAGCTTTTCAGCCCCCCTCCAGTATGCCAGGTTCTTCATGCTCATGGAAACCAACCACTTCTAGGACATTTAAAATGGAGCTTGTTGGGTGTTGTCTAGGTCACTCGGAACTGAATAGTCACAGTAAAGGGCTTAAAAGCTGCAGGACAGTAACACCCTCCTCTGTTACCTGCTCCTTTTCCCCAGGTGCCCAGGAGCAGAAGGGGGTGGGTGGCACCCAGCACCCAGCTGTAATGGTCTCCTGCTGCAGGACTGTGTTACCAGACACTTCACTTTCTGTAGCAGAGCTGCAGCTTGGTCAAAGCCTCTTTTTCTGACTGCATGGGCCACAGATGTTGCTTCATAGAATTGGAATCATATGGGTACCACAAGTTAGTGTGCAGCGAAATTATTTTTTAAATCCGCTGCTGCACCCTTACAGCACTCCAGCAGAGAGTGATAGTCTACAGTAAGGACTAGCTGCAGGCATTTGCTTTTGTGGCCAAGCAGTAACTGGAGTGTGTTCAATAAACCCTGTGAGACCCTATATTTATTTTTCATGTGCACTGTGTAAATGTGTATGGGTTGTCCTGTTGTGTGTTGATGCAGTTTGGAAGAGGACGTATAGGAAACTATAAAATGGGTGTTAGAAATGAAGGCAGGCTGTTTTTCTTGATATACAACCACCACTGAGGTGAGAATGTGGTCCCTGTAGCGCTACCCTAAATAGAACCAGTGCAGCAACAGAGAGGTGTACCATCACAGCTCGCGTATCTCCAGCAGCTTAGGATTTAGCTCACACTTTGTTTGTAGAAATATGAAATTACTTCTGAACAGTCAAACTGAAACAGGAAATGTTATCCCTCAGTCCTGCACATTACCCTTTTCTTTTCCTTTTTTTGTTTTCCTAATACATCTCCCCAGTTAGTCTCTGAAGCCTGTATTCGAGAGACTTTATAACCCAGTAATATCACTCTTTGTGTTGCCTTGCAAATTGGTTAGGAGAGCTTTCCAAGACACTCTATTCCATTTCATATCCATCAAAGCATGTGAGAGCAGGAGGGTCACCCTAAAATCATTATCATTGTGTGGTGAATTGGGGTTCTGATGGCTTGCAATAAATGCCACTTGGAGGCAGTTGTTTTCTCTAAGTGTGTCAGCCTGCTTGTGGCACAGTGGGTTTTCTCTTTTCCTAGGCTGATATTCCAGCAGGCTGGTTTTCCTGCTCCTGCACTGCAAGCTCATCCTCATTCTGCCTGTCATTTGGGGCAGGATAGATGGCAAGCAGCTACTGGGTTCTGATCCCTGGCTGGCATGCGAGATTCATGTTGACCTCATGGAAAGGTCCATGTGCTTTATGAAGTAGCTACAATGGGGAAAAGGATCTCTATGTTTATATGTGTGTTTGTACAAATACGTGTGTGTGTGTATAGATATATAACTGAAAAAATTACAAGCCCGTGAGAATATTTTACAACTATCTGCAGATTTCTGTCTTGAAGCTCATTGGCTTTTTCAAAGGTGATCAGATGCTCTCTCCCTTAGTCTGGGGAAGTATCACTGACTCTGAGATTTGCAAGGAGGGGTGCCTTCCTGAGCTGTGGTTTCACCTATAAAATAAACACGTTGTTGTGACCAGTACCTGGCAAGAGCCTGTTCCCATGAGATCTGTGAGAGCCTGGGTCTTATATGATTGAAGATTAAATAGCATGAGTATAAACCTCCAACCTTCAGGATTTTCTTGACTGCCTTGGGTTAAAAAACAAATTTAGCTGTGAGCTAAATTAGTGGAGCTGTGTGCTTCCTTTGGAAACATCTGGCACCGGTCAGTGCTAGACAGGGTCTGGGCCTTGATGGACCACTGGTTTGATCTTGTATGGCAGTTCCCATGTTCCCACGTGAACCCCTGCTGAGCTTGCACAGCTTTAGGTGGAGCTACTCTTGCATACTCTAATCAGAGGCAAGAACTGCACTAAATATGGCACAGTGAAGGACACTCCTGTATAATCCATCACACAGGAGATAATGCAAATGAGAGCGGATTTCGCCATGCCCACGAAATGTGACAACCCTGAAGAATGGAACAAGCAGTGCTTCTGAAGATCCTGATGGAAGACGCACATAAATTGTGCAACTTCCAAATTAGCTACCTTAAAAGAGTATAGTTGGGTGAGCCTTGTCAGGATTTGCATCAATAGCTTCACAGTGTATGTATAGACTTTAATATTAAAGTCACGCGGCTGATCAATGAGTTTGATCCAAGGAGCAATGTTGCCTTTTTCACCAGTAAACTCTAAGCTTAGTGATGTGAAATAAAAGAAATTGAACTCTTCCACATCTCATTTCTCCACCTTCCTTCTGTATCTCAGTTGCGGAAACAAAATTACTTTGCAACTCCGGAAAACAATTTCATGAAGTGCCAGTCATTATAATTGAAAAATTGAAAATAAAAAAGACCAGAACATGAGCAAAAGGGGAGGAAAACTTTCAGATCATTTTCTTTCTAAAGATAGACTAGCAGAAGAACAAGGGTCAGTCAAGAATATTAAGTTTGAAACTTAAGAAGGAAAACATATTAAAAATAAAGCCCCAGCAATGAAAGGAGAAATAAAATGTCTTCCCTCTGACTCTTGGCTAAGCTGTGTAGAAGGGTTGCCATCTGTTGCTATGAGTTAGCCATTCCTCTCTCCCGGCTCCATCCTGTGCTTCCTGAGCTGCTGTGATTGCCTGTAACATCTACGCATGGTGCCAGGGAGTGCAATGTAGGCCCAGTGCGGAGCAGAGATTTTTCTAGTTGTGCTCACATCTGCTGTCTGACAGCTACCTTAATGAATATGGTCTGGCTTATTACAGGGAGACCGTTTCGAATGAGTAGTCCCATTAAAAACACAAATTTGATTGTGAAAGGACCAGATACAGTGAATAAAAGTTTATTTGCTTTTAAATAAAAGGTGACTGTTCTTGATAAGCAGTGAGGGATGGGGTGACATCTAAAAATATCTGAAGGCCTTTCAGTTACTGTTAGTACCTTTTAATAGCAATGCTAAACAAGGGACTGAATTTTAGTCTCAGTCATATCTCTGTAAAATAAAAACATCTCTTTTGCCTGCAGTGAAGTGACTTCGGAATCCTACTAGCACAGCTGAATGCCCAGTCCCATCTAGTGAGTTGTCCCAAGACTGCTGCAAGCCTAAAGCGAAGCAGATGTGGATGGGTTTTTTGGGGGTTTGCGTTTGGTGTTCTTCTTTGGATAACAGCCTAAAAGTAGGTTCTGGCCCACAGTTTTGAAGATGTCTACTCAAAGATCTTTCTGCTTTAGAGGAGATAACTCCCTTGCTCTATATGCTTCCCTGTGTCTGTGTTTGTGCTGGGTCTCCTGTGATCTGTAACACAGAAATCGCAACACTCGATTACAACAGGCGCTCGTCTAGGGCAGGATCTTGGCTTTGCTGGTGCCGCATCACCTGCTCCAGGAGAAGGTAGAAAATTGCTCGTAATGAATGACTACACAATAACCTGTCTTCAGGGAAATTTGTTGTTTACTAATCCCATCAATTAGTGTTGGGTTTATGCCTTGAAGCAGAAAGATTAATATCTCTTGTATAATATATCTTGTCTACTGCATCTGTTTCTGTTCTCATTAGCTATAGTAAGGCATAATCCTTTTGGTTTAAAATGGAAATTAGAACAGTGAGAGATAAGAAAAGATCTGTCAAGAGATTTTTTGTTCCTTTTTCCTGTCAGTTGTCATAGGGTACCTCTCTGCTGTTTGTGCCATTGTATGGTTTAGCCTCATTCCTCCAGGTTTCAGGTGTTTATTTCTGAGATCTTGCTGTGATCCCTAAACACCCTGCTACCTGCAGTCACATTAGAGCTGGATAGGAAAGGGAACATCAGCTCAGCATGCTCTGACATGCCTTGTCCCATACAGCCCCAGAAATCAGATTTGCTTTTTGCCACTATGTCACATAACAAGTTGACACCTGCTGCGTTGCAGTAAGCTCACCTGAGATCTTTTTCACTTTTATTGCTTTTCTTTGCTACTAAATAACTATGTTTGGAACCTGTTTTGCTCTGGAAGTGTGAGCTGCTGTACAATCAATAGGATTTTATTTTTACCCTCTCCGGATCTTTTGCATTATTTTCTGGCTCTCATTGTTACTTGCAATAATTCCTTATTTGCCGTTATCTGTAAATTTAATGACTGTGTTGCTATTTATGTTTCCTTCCACATTGTGAGCAGAAATCCTGGCCTCACAGTAGTCAGGGACAGGTTTAGCATTGACTTCAGCAGAGCTGGGATTTCAGCTCTTTCACAGCACTCGAGAACTTCTCTGCAACTCATTATATCTCAGTTTTTAAAGGCTTAAAGTAGTTAGCTCACTTGCAGTCCCCAAACTGGTGGAGAGCTGAGGTGCGTCAGTATCTGCATGAGGTGGGTGGTGGAGGAGGGTCATTGGAACCAACAGTGTTCCATAACTTTGTGGTGCCGGACTCAGATGCGTGTCTGGTTGGCACTTTGGGACTGCAAAGTCAACCACCCTCACAGCTGGCCCATTGCTCTGCTCTTCACTCATCAGAGTGTCCTGTGTTATAAACACCCAGGTCAGGAGCATGCATATCTCATCCACTTGGCAATAAATCTCCTAAGTCTGGTGACAAAGATGCTGTTTACCAACTTGGGGAAAAAATACTAAGCCTTTCTATATTTCGCATGTCCTTTGTATGCTTCTATCCGCTTCCCATCTCATTTGCTGATTGTGCAGCCTGGAGCGCCTCCCAACTTCGTGTTCTGCATCGTTTTTTATACTTGTGCTACTCTGACATAAAATGTTGCGGCGCAGAATCATGCCCTCCATCAGAGTCCTAAAATTTAACAGCTAACAAAATTTTGTCACGGAGCAGTGACTAAACTTAATTTTACTTTGAGACAACTTTAGGCTGTATGATTTATCAGTACCATATTAATTTAATGACCTTTTGGCTTTTTTTAACCGCATGCATCAGTGCTCAGCTTCTTGTCGATTTTAACTCATTTTTCACCTAAAAGACACTGTATGAATTTTTTTATGGCAATCATGATATATTCCCTCCTATATTCTTTTTGACTGCTGGTTTTGTAATTCAGTCCAAAAAACTGTGATAACTTGTATTTTTTTCCTTCCTTCTTCATGGGTCAGTAGTCTTTTAGATGAAGTTAGGTTAACCAGATGATTAAGTCTATAGCTTGTCATATCTGTAGCTTTCCAGACAAATATTGTAATTTTGAAAGATCTTCTCATAAGACACTATGTTTTTTGAAATTTCTTGAATTAAACTGTAGGAGAGTGTTCAAATATCCACTAGTGCACAAGGTAGATGACCATTAAAAACCACCATCACACTGTGAGTGTTTTTTAAGCTTCTTGTTGCTTCTTCTGAAAAAAACCCTTAAGTAAATGAGTCAAAAAAAGAGGCAACATTTTAGTTAAAAACTGCCCAATGATTTATTCAGTTCAGTCTTGCAAGAGAGTGATCCCTGATCTACTTAATCTGAATCCAGAGATTCCTACATCATGCAAGAGGAACTAGACTAGGTAGTCTATCTGCTAGTGTTTCATTTCTTTTGTGTGCTCTTTGTTAGGCTAAAATAACCAACATAATACATGATAGCTGTCCAGATTGTTATTTTTTATATCTTTTTTGAAAGGCAGCTATCGCAGCTGTTTATTTCCAGTCCACAGCTTTTCAGAAACAATTGTTAAGTCATTTAGTAAACTCATCAGTTAATTTCCACAGATGCATATCATCTGGATTTACTGATTTGCATAGATTTAAATTTTTCCATGCCGGACCTTTTTTTTCTCAAATGTTATAAAAACCTCCCACAACATTTGTAGCAACAAGAGACACTTTTCAAAAGTGCCTTCATCCCACTTTGAAAAAGGATTTCTCAAAAGATCATCTTTCATCTTCCGTGGGATTAATGGGTTATTCAGGGAGAATTAAGGTGGGCAAAATTAGGATATGCCTGTGGACCTATCTTTGCAATAGCCAGAATAGGTGCAATAAATTGAATATCAAAACAGCTTCTGTCCTGATTTGGCCTCCTTGAAAACGTTGAAAATAAAAGATTGCAGCTACTTTTTTTGCTCTTTCTTCTGGTAAAAGCCAAGACTTGCAGAAATAAACAGTATTTAATGATGTTGCAACTAATTCCACTAAGACCAATATAGATGTCAATACAAGCAACAAAGGATTGAACCCTTAGCCAGAGCAGAAGATGGGAGGTCCTGTGGGCAGATCTGGAGGTTAAGCGCAGATCACATCCAACACTTTTAATCTCCTGCGTGCTGGTTTCTGGATCATGAATTTGTCCTCGGTATTATTTAGGGAGGCAGTTGATGAGGCACATTCAGCTGTATTTGTCATACACCAGATGTCGGGATAGTTAAAGTCACTCATGCTTCCTCTGATTTTAAGCTCCTCAGCAGTTGGTCTGGGATAGTTTACACAGGCGCACACATGCACACGCATGCGCGCACACACACACACGTTTACAAACTACAGTGTATGCAATGTATCTTATATATTTGTATGATTTCCCATGTCACCCATTCCTAGTGACTGGCCGCAAGCACGCTGGACAATACCCATGTTTTTGACTGAACAGCTCTGGGTTATCACTAGAAATCCCAGGCTTTCCGAGTGTGTTTTGCCCT